GACATCATATATGAAGCAAGAGGTCATTAAAAAGACAGGAGAGAAAGAAAAGACCAAAATGGATGCTAGAAGAGACTCTGAAACTTTTTCTTGAACATCAAGCAGCTAAAGAGAAAGAAAGAAAGAAATGATGATGTAAAAGAGATGAACAGAAGATTTCAAAAGGCAGCTTGAGAAGACAAAGTAAAGTATTACGACGACATGTGCAAAGACCTGGAGATAGAAAAACCAAAGGGGAAGAATACGCTGGGCATTTCTCAAGCTGAAAGAACTGAAGAAAAAATTCAAGCCTTGAATTGCAATACTGAAGGATTCTACGGGGAAAATATTAAACACTGCTGGAAGTACTGAAAGAAAATGGAAGGAATACACTATACCAAAAAGAATTGGTTGGTGTTCAAACATTTCCGGAGGCAGCATATGATCAGGAACCGACGGTACGAAGGAAGAAGTCCAAACTGCACTGAAGGCACTGGGGAAAAACAAGGCTCCAGAACTGACGGAGACCAGCTGCGATGTTTCAACACATGGATGCAGCACTGGAAGTGCTCACGCATCTGTGCCAAGAAATTTGGAAGACAGCTACCTGGTCAGCCAACTGGAAGAGATCCATATTAATGCCTATTCCCAAGAAAGATGATCCAACCAAATGTGGAAATTATCGAAAATTATCATTAATATCACACACAAGTAAAATTTTGCTCAAGATCATTCAAAAGCAGCTACAGCAGTATATCGACAGGGAACTGCCAGAAATTCAACCCAGATTCACAAGAGGATGTGGAATGAGGGATATCATTGCTGATGTCAGTTGGATTCTGGCTGAAAGCAGAGAATGCCAGAAAGATGTTTACCTGTGTTTTTTTGACTATGCAAACGCATTCGACTGTGTGAATCATAACATAATAATTATGGATAACATTGGGAAGAATGGGAATTCCAGAACACCTCATTGTGCTCGTGAGGAATCTGTACATGGATCAAGAGGCAGTCGTTCAAACAGAACAAGTGGATTCTGCGTGGTTTAAAGTCAGGAAAGGTGTGTGTCAGAGTTGTATCCTTTCACCATACTTATTCAATCTATATGCTGAACAAATAATCCGAGAAGCTCTACTATATGAAGAAGAACGGGGCATGAGGATTGGAGGAAGACTCATAATAACCTGCCATATGCAGATGACACAACCTTGCTTGCTGAAAGTGAAGAGGACTTGAAGCACTTACTGATGAAGAGCAAAGATCACAGCCTTCAGTATGGATTACACCTCAACATAAAGACAACAAAAATCCTCACAACTGGATCAATAAGCAACATCATGATAAACGGAGAAAAGATTAAAGTTGTAAAGAATTTCATTTTACTTGGATCCACAATCAACACCCGTGGAAGCAGCAGTCAAGAGATCAAAAGACACATCACATTGGGCAAATCTTCTGCAGAAGACCTCTTTAAAGTGTTGAAAAGCAAAGATGTCACCTTGAAGACTAAGGTACGCCTGATGCAAGCCATGGTGTTTTCAACTGCATCATATGCATGCGAAAAGTGGACAATGAATAAGGAAGACCGAAGAACTGTGGTGTTGGCGAAGAATACTGAATACACCATGGACTGCCAAAAGAAGGAACAAATCTGTCTTGGAAGAAGTAACCAGACGCTCCTTAGAAGCAAGGATGGCGAGATTGTGTCTCAAATACTTTGGAGATGTTATCAGGAGGGATCAGTCCCTGGAAAAGAATATCATGCTTGGTAAAGTAGAGGGTCAGCGGAAAAGAGGAAGACCCCCAACGAGATGGACTGACACAGTGGCTGCAACAATGGGCTCAAGTGTAACGACTGTTAGGATGGCACAGGACCGGGCAATGTTTCGTTCTGTTGTACATGGGGTCGCTGTGAGTTGGAATCGACTCCATGGCACGTAGGACAGCGCACACAGGAAACAATAAATGTTGGCTGAGTGAATTAATTTAAAAGAGGAACTGTAAAAACTGGAATGAAATTCACCTTTTAGGGCTTGTTAGGGGTTGAGTGAGAGTGTGGCAGCAAGGCAAGCAGTCACGCAGCATATACGGAGTTAGAGGCCAGCCCCCCTGCCACCAGCCTGGGCAGGACAGGCTTGCCGTGGGAGAGTAAGAGCAGAATTCGGCAGGGTCCAGGAGCAGTAGGGACCGCTACCTCAGTGTGACAGCTTTACACCCCATGTGTATGAGTGTTTCCACGTTCAGGTATAGAAATGACCTCAGGATTTAGTAACAGAGCCAACTGTACAAAGATATTCCTAAAAGTGTGAAATGGCAGCTTACGGGCTAAGTGTACTATACAAGCTCCTGGTGGCCAGGCAGCTAAGATGTTATGTTTCTATCTTTGTGGAAGATGTAAGTATCCACGCTTGTTAGTCCAACTCCACCACAGGGAGCAAGCAGAGGCGGAGTCACTAAGGATCAAGAGGAATCAACTTGAGAAATTGGTGCCACATAATGAAAGAGCCAGTGGATGTTGATTACTCTGCTGTGCCTGTATCTGTAAATTGCCAAAGTGACAGTCATGTGTACAAGAACTTAGAAGAACATGTAAAGATGTTGACATGTAAAGATGAAAACAAATCCAGGCTGAGGGACCAGCGCAAGCAAAGTACAGAGGTAAGAAGACACTGGCGGTATAACTGTAATTTATTTGGCTGAAAAACAATGCGGAAGAGGGGAAAGAGGCAGAATGGAAAGGTGGGTAGATAACAGAAGGCCTCTGGGGGCTGAGCTAAGGAGCCTAAACTTCATCTATGGACAGTAAATTATTACCGAAAGCTCATGACCAGAGAATTGACTAAATTAAATTCACATGGCAGCAAGCAAAGACTTAACACAAAGAAGGGACTGAAGCTTGAACTTTGAGTTAAGGGATGAGCAGGAAGAAATAATGAAGGCAGAATCGTAAGACTGGAGTTGGAGCCAGACCAGGAGTTTGAACCATGACTCCACCTTTAACCAGCTGTGTGCTCTGGGGCAAATTACTCAACCTCTCTGGGCTGTAGTCTCCTCGTCTATACAAGACAAGAAACTACCTCAGGTTTACTGAGTGGACTGAGTGAGTTAATTCACACAAAAGAACACAGATCAGGATCTGGCACATAGTATGTACCCCATTACAGGCACACTGAACGCCAGCTGATTTTATGATCCATGGGCACTGAAATAGGATGAAAACAGAACAAAGGAGGGGTGGCTTGGAAAGGGAAAACCCAGAGGTTTGATGAGGATCAGCTGTTAAAAGACACTGAGGTTTAAAACCTGAAAAACTGAAGATACTGATTAAAAGGGATAAGGAAAACAGGAGAAGGAATAAGACCCGAAGGTTCTGTTAGGACAGCTTTACTGTATTTCGTTTAAGTCTTGATTACCGCCTGAGCCCAGAGATGTTGAGGCGAGGATGTGTGGCAGGCATCACAGCAAGGAAAGTACTGGTTTCTCGGGCTCATACCCAAAGCTGCACTTCAGTCCAGCAGGGCGACAGCCAGATGTCGAGCTCGAATCTCCCGTTCTATAGAACATTCTACAGAATGCTCTCTGATGCCCAGCGACGGCTTCCTGCTCTGGTCTCACACTGTGCTTAGGGACAGGACCCTCACTGTCCCCACTACTTTAGTGTGCGGTAGCCTTTCTCTTGCCAGCTAGATTACAAACTCCATGAGGGCCCAGATGCTTACACCTGCCCAACCTCCTGAACCACCACAGACTGAACAAGGACGAGTGCGTGCTGACTAAGGACTCGTTTTGCTCCCTAGTGGCCCTTCTTCAGAAAACGGGAGGCTACTACAGTAGTGAGTCAGCCAGCAAAGACACCTTGCAAGGATGCGCACCCAGTAATCTTAGAACGTGCTGGCAACCTTGAGGCCAGTGAGACGTCTGCTACGGTCCAGTGAGAGCCCAGCTTTAGCGCGCAGGCCCTCTCCCTGTCTGCCAGGGTGTGGCCCACAGTGCTTCCAGTCAGCAGTACTCTGCGGTACTGCACACAATTCAGCACTGTCAAGTATCGTTGCCAAGTCCATAAATACACGCGTGGATATTCCACGGGAAAGGGCATTTGGGATGTTTGTGCATGATGAAAAAATAAGCAATTACATTTTACTTTGGGATACTAAAAAAGAACCCAGTCATCGGCTTGGCAAAAGCACAAAACTAAATTTCAGGAAAAACTGACTCAAAATTAATAAAGAGACAGGAATTAGGTCTTTTCTAAGTCAGACTGTCAGACAGTAAAGTTATTATTTTAGAAATGTACCATATTATACACACACATATATCTCTAAGATTGGTTAATATATACAGCATGTGTGTGCATGCAGATATATATGTGTGTAGGTATATACACTGTATACATTTTAAGATACTAAATTTGGGCCAATGAAAGATGCTTTTTCCTTTCTAGTATCTGCCACATGTTTAAATTGAAAGCATACCAAGACAAAGACAGCATACTCATCACACCGGCTAATAGTTAAGATAATGCCTGTTACCAGTATCTTAACTATATTTTTTAAAAAGCAAGATTCAAAACACTTTATGTTAATTGTGAAAAAGACAAAAACAGTTTAAAAATAATTCACATTTCCTAAACTTCAATAAATATTCGAAGTATCTTCTGTTAAATTCTGCTGAACTGCAAAGATAAACTGTAACAGCAGCTTCCAAGTACAGACTTTCATTCCACATGTTTAGCATGATATTAAAACAGAAAAATGACTCAGAATGCTATATGATCAGTGAATGTCATTATATTAAATATACATGCTCATCTAAAAAATAACGCCCATGAGCCACAGTTAAAACTATTCTGTGATGGCAAACCTGAGGAGCCAGAATGTTTTATTTTTATGAACTATTCTAGAAAGGAAGCAATCCTAGTAAAAATGAGCGGATACCCAACATCCATTAGTTCCCCAGCACAGCTGCTCTGAGCTGTTCCACTTCTCCACGTGCTCTGTGAGGCTCCGCTCCCAGGCTCTTACCTGACACGGAGACAGCGTGAGTCCGCACGCCCTGCTTCTCGCTGTTGGCAAGCCTGTAACAGAGACGCGACGTGAGTGCTGCACGTTCGTCAGGACCAGACAGCTGGGCATTCGTTCCCATAGGGGACGCCTGAGTCAGAAGGACTATGTATGCCATTTCCCACGAGCCTAGATTTTAGAAGGTGATTCTTCTTTTAAATTGGATTCTACCACCTGTAGCACTTAAAATAACCAGACTGCCTTAATGTTTAAAAGATCAGAAAATAATGTAGACGACTGAGAGCAGAGCACAGAGAGCGGCCCAGGAGACACTGCCATATCACTGAATGTGACGGGCACGCGTGAGGACAGTAGCTCAATCTAAATGCTGCTGTTCCCTAAAGGTATGAGACACCAAACAATAAAACAAAACAAAAAACACCTAGAATTGAATTTTGCTCTCTATGAAACACGATGGTATGACTGGTCCTTCTTAAATTTACAGTGTCTAAAAAAATCAGGTGGTACATTAATACAGGTTATTATTTACAGACTGAGAAAAGGTGCTCTTAATGTATTTGGCTACTTGTTCCCTGAAATGGCTCAACAAGAGTAGTGTTTTACTTATTTACCCAGATAAAACAAAATGCTGGTCAAAAGATTTCAGCGACATTTAAAAACGCGAGCATAGTTCAGTTTAACATTTTAGCAAAGGACAAAACGCAGAGCAAAAAGGAACCCTGCAGTCTTTAGAAATCATAGTTACTTTGGTTTTTTTATAAAAGAAGACTTCTTTCCAGACACGTAAGCATTTACTAGACAGCCACTGAACAGAAATTTTTCCTAGTATTTAGAATTTACACTAGGAAAAATGAGAACTTAAAAATAGTACTTAACATTTTTGAGAATAGAAACATTCAATATGAAGTTGAATAACCTCTATAATTAATAATACTGGCGTAAAGTTGTAGAAGTTCCTTCTACTGAATTTTTCAAATATTTGAAATCCTTAACGAGATCTTTATTTTTCCTCCCTTTCAGCCACACGAATTGTTGGAACTATCTCTGACTACTCATTGGGAAGCCATGTTGTTGCTGTTAGCTGCCATCAAGTCGATTCCAACTCATGGCGCCCCCAGGTGTACAGAGTAGAACTGTTCCGTAGGGTGTTCAAGGCTGCGACCTTTCAGAAGCAGATCACCAGGCCTGTCTTCTGAGGTCCTCTGGGTGGGGTTCGAACAGCCAGCCTTTTGGCTAGTAGTCAGGGCTTAACCAGGTGTGCCTCCCAGGGACTCTTTGGGAACAACAGGGGACACAATTGTCATAAGCAGATTACATCATTTACTTCTGAATTACATTCTGTTGCCAGAACACTGGGATCTTCTCTTTACCATACTGCATTTATATATGATGCTGCCCATAAAGTTTGCTTTGTTCAGTTTTTTAGAAGCTAGTACCACTTCTAATCTGCTACCTTCTTCTATCACTTTCATATCTGTGTTTTGATTCCTGTATCTCTTAATCCTCAAAATCGTTCTTTAACGACATTCCACAACTGAAGATACTCCCAGCGTTAGTTCCTGGTCTGATGTGGGCCCTTAGTAAATATCTGTTGTCTTAGTCATCTAGCTGCTGTAACAGAAATACCACCAGTGGATGGCTTTAACAAGTAGAAATTTATTTTCTCACAGTCTAGGAGGCTGGAACTCCGAATTCAGGGCACCAACTCCAGGGGAAGGCTTTCTCTCTCTGTCGGCTATGGGGGAAGGTCCTTGTCACCAATCTTCCCCTGGTCTAGGAGCTTCTCGGTGCAGGGACCCTGAGTCCAAAGGATGCACTATGCTCCCGGCACTACTGTCTTGGTGGTATGAGGTCCCCCGATTCTCTGCTCACTTCTCTCTTTTATATCTCAAAACAGACTGACTCAAGATACAATCTAATCTTGTAGACTAAGTCCTGCCTTGTTAACATAACTGCCTCTAATCCTGCCTCATTAACATCACATATAGGATTTACAACACACAGGAAAATCACAACAGATGACAAAATGGTAGAGAATCACACAATACTGGGAATCATGGCCTAGCCAAATTGACACACATTTTTGGGGGCACAGTTCAATCTATAACATCTGTTAAATGTGAATTTACGAATCAGACCGCTAAAGTCGAGAGTAAGCTGGTGTCACCCCTCCTCCCGCTTACCCACACAGCTACCATGGGCTCCCACCTGCAGATGCTGCCCCTGGCAGGTCTGCCATGTGGCCTTGCACCAGAGCTCACTGCCCAGAGCAGGTGTGGACAGGAAAGTGTGGTAGGTGCTACGGCAGAGGAGGAGAAGGTGCCTGGGAAAACACAACAGGGAGGCTTCCCAGGCCTGGGGTCAGGGGAAGCTTCCAGAGGAAGGCCTGAGAGACGAGCAGGACCTAGCCAAGGAAAAGGGGTTGGAGGGAAGAGAGGTTCATGAAGAGGGACAGCACTCACAAAGCCTGGAGGGCAAAGGGAGGATGGCTTGCTCAAGCAACTGAAATAAGCTCATTGTGGCTGAAGGGTCGAGTGCGAGGCATGATGAAAACGAGGCTGGGGTGTTGGCAGGGGACGAGCCATGCAGGGTCCTGCAGCTAGGTGAAGGAGGCTATCCCGAAAGCAGCAGCACATCGCTGTGTGAGTTCTCAGTAGGAAGGTTCCCCTGGCTTCAGTAAAGAGAAAGAGGATGCTGGACAAAATGGGACAGAGGACGATTCGTGAGAAGGTGTGCAGAGACCTGACACAGCACGCCCGAGACCGCATCCTAGAAAGGCCCGCTACAAGGTTGGTCCTGGGCTGGTGTCTGGGAACAAGGACTTCCAGAGGGTTCTTGCCATTCCCTAACTGATAAGAGTGGCTCATTGTGCCTAAACCACAGTACGGTTTACGCTAAGCACCTGCTTTCCTTCTGGAGTCCAGAATTTGGGTACGTGCCAGGAAGAGGGTGCCTGCATGACCAGATCTCCATAAAAACCCTGGCCTCCCAGGGTCAGGTGAGCTTCCCTGGTAGACAACACATCACACACGTGGTCATAATTTTATGCTGGAGGAAGTAAGCACGCCCTGTGTGACTCCGCTGGGAGGACCCTCGGAAGCTCGGGTCTGGTTTCCTCTGAGCTTCATCCCTTGTGCTTTTTCCTTTGCTGACAGCACTTTGAACCTTTTGCTGTAGGAAATCACAGCCATAAATACGACTACCTGCGGAGTCCTGGGAGTCCTCCTAAAGAAATCACCAAGCCTGGGGGAGGTCTTGGGGACCCTGACACAGGAGTCTACTGTAGGAACCCAGGCAGGCAACAAGAGTGGCCAAAAACAGGGAAGACTGTGGCAAGGCAGGTGTGATCATTAAGGTTGTGTGTCAGTTTGGCTGGGCCATGAATCTCAGTGGTTTGGCAGTTATGACATAGTTTGGCAGTTGTATGACGACGTGATCATGCCCACGATGATACTTGATATAATGTGATCGCCTCCATGATGGGATCTGCTGTGAGTAGCCAATCAGTTGAAAGGCAGTTTCCTTAGGGGTATGGCCTATATCCAACATAAGTCGACATTCTGGGCTTCTGCTTGCTCTGCATCCTGCAGCTAGCTCTTCTTTCTGGGACCTGAGCTAGCAGCTTTCCTGCCATCTTGCCTGCTGATCTTGGGACTCGTTGGTCTTCACCGTCTGTGAGCAAGAGCCCTCCTGTCTGACCTCCTGATCCTGGGTTTGCTAGCCCTTCGGCTACGTGAATCAGGAGAAACCTCTATCCTGACCCACGGACTTGGGACGTTCCAGTCTCTACAACCGCGTGAGCCATTTCCTTGATATAAATCTCTCTCTCTCTCTCTCTCTCTATATATATATATGTATATATGCTTTACTGGCTTTGCTTCTCTAGAGAAGCCAGCCTAAGACAGCAGGGAAGTGGATGAGTTTGGAATACTGAGGAAGTGACACTGGTTGTGGAGAAGGGGGAGAAGGAGCAGACAAAGCTGATGCCCAGGTTTTACCCCCTTTATTCCAGTGGCCTCTTGGGTTAATTATTCCTCCTCAGCTGCCTTCCAACTCTGTGGAAGCAGCTCTCCTAGCACTTTTCACAGGGCTGTAATTGTTTATTTACCGGTATATCTCTATGTCTAGATTTTATCTTTCATATCTCGGTCCCCAGTTAGTAATGTACTGGCTGAGAATATTGAAGTTATTAAATAGTTTCTTTTGGAGTTAGTATTAATTCTTCTAATTTTATAGATCAACATACCTACTAAGAAATCTTGACATAAAAAATTTAAAAATTAACATAAATTACTTCTCAATTTTCTTGCTTGTAAAATAGCCAGAATGGTACCTACTTTTCAGGGTTTAAATAGATTAGAGATAACATATAAAGCATCTGTTAAACAATATGCCTTCACTTATTACTACAACTACTCTTTAACTCCTCTTTTGAACTTATAATAAAGAGAACATTTATTTTTAAGCTTTTGGATTAAACCAAAATACGTAATATGATTTACATTTGATTTGATTTCTTTGTTCAAACTTGGAAATATTCGGTTTTCCAGTTCCATGTTCATATATATAGAAATTTTTGAGGTAAACGGATAATAAAGCATAGTGATTTCCTTAAAGTTTCTAACAACACGCAGTAGAAATATGCAGAAAGCAGCACTTACTTTGGTATTGATGGTAAAGCCCGTTCACCTTCTGGAAAAAAAAGGAAAGAGAGATGAGGTTCCTTTTGTCCTTTTTCAAAGGCTATACCTACCAAGCAGGTAAGAAGGACAAGCCCTGCCCCAGTGTCTCAGCAGTAACCCTTCGGAGAAGTTGTTACACTGGCTACCCTAGATTGTCAGTTTTATTTTCAATACTGTTAACAAACAAATGGTCGGTGCATACTTTTTAGAAGTTAAGCTTACCCAAGAGCACAGCTCTAAGTTCATGAGGTGGTAAAAGACTTCCATCCTGAGAGACTACAGAAGACGGACGTTTTAGGATCAAAGTCCACATTCCTTACCAAAGGACTGAGCATCATGCATTTGGGTAAAAATGCCCACTGGTAACAATTCCAAAATCTGTGCAGGAAGCGCATGGAAACACACAGAAAACAAGACCCCAGGAAAGAGAGGCCCCTGGGGAAGGGATGCACCAGAGAAGGAGCTCTGTGAGCACTGCCAGTGGGAGTCCGCTGAGGTGGCCACCTGCCCACAGCGGCTGCCTCCCCCTCCCCCCGCACCAACAGGGCCCATCCCTTTGGCCACAGCGACCAGGCAGGCCAGGTGCAATCACAGCAAAGCTCAGGACTTTTGTTCCATGCTTTGAGGATACATTCTCTCCCTCTTCCTTTGTTAGGACGCATGCAACACTCTCTGGTCATCTCTGTAATCTGGATTAATCTAATAACCTCTAACTGATCCTCTCCTACTCCATCCCTGAGCTACACTGCTACCAGAATCATCTTCCCAAGTTATAAATTCATGGAGTCATTTCCCTGCTTCAATTTTTAGTGTCTCTCAACAGCTCTGAGGAGGCAGTGTAAGCACCTCGGCCTACCCAGAAAGCACTGCCTCACTCCTGTCAGCAGATAAGCACTACTCTCTCCCCCATCTTTGGGGGCTATGTGGTGGGAGTGGAGGGCAGAGGAAGGTGGGTAGGCTCCCATCTACCACTCATTTCTCTGACCCCTTCACAGGCAGCTCCTTGATAACACCCTGGTGTGTTCACACCTGCTGCCTACAGTGCCTCTCCTTCATCTGCCCTTCAACTTCAGTCAATCCTCCCACCACCACCGGTGCTAAAACTACCCTCATCAGGGTCACCAACGACCTCCCTTCGTAAATCCAACAGTTCACCTATCGTCAACATTTAACACAGGTAACCACTCCATCCTCCGGGAAGCGTCCCTCACTGGGTCTCCGGGCCTGCTTCTACGCTCGGTTTTCCCTTTACCTCACAGGGCACATCTGAGTCTCCTTCGCTGTGTATTTTCCTGGGTGTGTCATGCTGCCTTGGAAGGTGCCCCTCCTTCTGGTGGACTATTACTCTCCAGTCTTTCACGGCTGGGTTCAAGCACCACCTCCTCTAGCTAGACTTCCTGGGGCACCCCAATTTAACTTTAACCACCCTCCTCCATGCTTCTGCTACACTAACAGGGCACTTCCCACCCATCATCCTTCTGCACCGACCACAAGGCTGGGTCACTTGAAAGTAAGATTCAACCTGGCCAAAGGCACCCCAACACCAGGCCGAGGTCTGGCACTCAGGAGGCTCTCCAGTTGTTGCCTGGCAAATGAATCAGGTTATTAGCCTGGACTCCAAGCAGTTCCTCTTTCTGAACAACTGTTTATTCACCTCTGAGAAAGAGGTGATGCTACCTGAACGGCAGGGTAGCTGTGGAGCTTAGATAATGCAGTGTACATAAAATCCACGGCACAATACCCAGTGCGCCACAGGAATTAAATCCAAATTTCCTCACTCTGACGTTCCAGACTCCAAATTCCAAGCAAAATAACGAAGTTACACCATGAAGACCAAATTCAGAACAACAAAGAAGCCCCAAGGTTAGTTTATTATTCCCTGAACACTAGCACCACCATCCCACCCCCACCCAACACTGTCAAGGAGTAATACAGCCTTTAAAATGGCACATGAGTGGGATCTGTTTGCACACTTTACTGAAATTTCTACTTCCTCTGAGATAGAGAGAAATTCGTTCTTTAACAGATGCCTAGTATTATAGCATGTATCCATGGTTCGGAATTTATTTAGTAGTTCCCATCTTGTGGAGACTTAGGTTGCTTCTAATTTTTTGCTATTATGAACAATGTAATAGTGAACATCTCGAGTCAGTGGTCCTGGAGGCCTGATTTCTAGAAGGAAGAACACTGGATTAAAGGGCAGAGGACTACTGCTAACGAGTCCTCAAAGACATTCACAATGACGCCAACAGTGTGAAGTGAGAGGGCATTTCCCAACAGCTCTGCTGAGATAGGTGTTCCAACACCGTTTTCATCAATCTGGGAAGCCTACAGTGGTCTCCCTCACTGTCTGTGTCACCTGGCTATTTGACGTATGTATTTCTCCTTCCGTGAGGTGCCCCTTTTTATTGAGCTGTCTTTTACTTAGTGAGCTGGAAGAAACCTTGAACAACAGAGATTTTAACTCTTTACTGTATGTTACAAATGTTTTCCCCTCTATGTCATACCTCTGAAAAATATGTGTACGAAGTGTTTTAATATTTACATACTGAAATCGATCTATTTTGTGCTTCGTATCTCCTAGGTTTTGTGTCATGCGTTGAAGCACACCCCACCGGAGCACAGCAGTTACTATCACCCTGTACATGGGAAGTCTCCCGCTTACGAATGATAACATTATGCCTCCATTAAATCTGCATAATTCTTTCCTCTGATGAGAATTTTACTCAATTTTTACGAAAGAATTTTACTAAAACTGCAAAACTGATAATGAGCTTTCTAACACCCTACAATGAAGGGCCAAGGCCGTGCTGGAACTTGGTCCAGGACATCTGGCCTGTGGCCCTTAGGATGTTCCCTCCAATAAACATCACCTTTAAAAATCGTAATTGTGCTAGAGCACCAAACTAGTAAAGTGCATCTGGGCATACCCAGAGCTCACGTGTAGAAGCTGTTCACTGTTACGCTCTATTCTGCATATAAAACGTGTACAAGACACGCTGTCTACCATTAAGCAGTTTATAACCTAGAGAAGACAGATGGGTACATAAATAACTGCCATTTAAAGCACATTGCCAGGAAAATGCTACATTAGAGGTACAGGAACGTGTTTTACACTTACTTTAAAATTTCAAAAACATAACTCAATTTAAAAATGTACATGTACTTACGCCCATAAATGTATGTCTATATATAGATATGGAAACCCTGGTGGCATAGTGCTTAAGAGCCACAGCTGCTAACCAAAAGGCTGGCAGTTCAAATCCACCAGGTGCTCCTTGGAAACCCTGTGGGGCAGTTCTACCCTGTCCTATAGGGTCGCTATGAGTCAGATTCGACTCGATGGTAACAGGTTTTTCTTCTTTATATATAGATATATCTATATCTAGTTCTCTCTCCATGGATATTTCTGAGTCCAATCCATTAAAAATATTCAACTTAAATATTATTTTAACTCGGCAACATATGTTCACTTTAGGGATATAAGATAGTCAAGTAATGACTACACTGTGATTCACACTAAGGTAAATGAATTAGGACGCTCACTAATCCATTCTATACAGACAATGTAAAATTGGCAGCAACCAACGCTCCACCTGGCTTTTATGCTGAGCACTTTCACTTAAGCTCTTTCTGCATGCATTAAGAGCTTAAGGCATCTCATTCTACATGATTTCATATCAAAATATTTCTCCCCAGAGGAGTGAATAACTGTGTAGGAAGAGTTTGAAGCTCATTTTACGTTTAAAGTCTGAGCATTATTTTTTCTGTGTACAGAAATATTAATAAAGGACTTTGGGAAAATTAAAATGAAATAAAATTTATTTACTGAAAAGGAGATTGGCATACACCTAGTATTCACTTCTGGGCAATCAGTCATATTCAACATTTTTCACAAAGTACTATCTTTATGTGAATTAATTCTCCCAAAACATTTATGGTAAGTATTCACAAGGTATATACCTCTGTTTAAAGCCCAAAGTGAAAAATCAAGAGCTCATGGCTGCAAAAGCTTTAAGTGAGGGGAGCTTTAGATGTTTCTAAAATCAACTTCATTACTATACTTCATATCAGAAAAACTACAATAAATACATGCTATTATTTTAGAAAAAGCTAATAGGATTTATTGGCCTGATTATAGTGGGAAAAACATTTGATAAATTAGCCATGACCTTGAATCATACAGTCTTATGTTTACTTAGCAGGCTTTTGGTTTTTAGACTACAACATTTTGATTAAAAAAACAAAGAAACAAACCCACTGCCATTATGTCAGTTCCAACGCACAGTGACCCTGCAGGACAGAGAAGAACTGCCCCATAGGGTTTCCAGGGCTGTAATCTTTACGGAAGCTGAATGCCACATCTTTCTCCTGCAGAGTGGCAGGTGGGTGTGAACCACCACACGCCTTCCTCAAAGTGCTTTGTAAAAACAAGGACGATTCTTGCTGGGCCAGCGGGGTTTCTGTGGTTTCTACAGCAGCAGTTCAGTACTGTGTCACTTGCTGTACTGTTGGCTTTTTTCTACTGTCTTCAACATTAAACTCAATTGTGCTTACTTGGACACACGCTGCAGAGTGCCAGGATTCTTTTATAACCATCGTCACTGAAAGTTAGTGCTGGAAGGGATCTTGACAATGCGACAAAGCCCGTTTACAGAGTGCCTTCTACATACACTGACTCATCCTCCCAAACAGCACCAAAGATAGGTCCTGTTCTCCCTGTTTTCACAGGTCAGAGAGCTGAGGAACAGAAAAGCTTTCACCGACAGAGGGCAGCACAGAGGACCCATGATGTGAACCCCCAGGTTAACACACGATTCCGAAGCCCAGGGTTTCTCCACTTCACACGATGCTGTGATTCTCCTGGGATATTTGCATTTGATCATTCCAGAAACCCAAGCCCTCCAGAACATACCTTCTCACTTGCCTGCAAAAACCCCACATAACTTGACATGAGACCATCTGGTTTTATTACAATTTTGAGTTTACATCATTATTTAGAATTTATTTTGTTCTTCCACTACTCTAAGCTTTTGAGATACATGAGAAAAAAAGACCAGACAGACTTTAACGTAAGTTACAAGGGACACTTAAAAACAAAAACAAAAAAACAAGATTATAAGTCTAAAAATTTATTTAAAAACATAATGGTGACCTGGAAAATGTAACTCAAAGCACAATATTCTAAATACAAACGTTTTCTTTAAGCTCTATTCAAACTTAGCTCCCTGCCTTGCCAGTGTGAAGTAGATCATGACCCCTAGAAAACAAAGACTAAAGGATGACACTATGCTGGACAATTCCTCCGGGTTTTACTCCAGAGTTATCTCAGAGAAGGACTCCAGGCTACAGGCAACGAGCTCATCTAGCAGAAGACAACAGGAATGCTGTCCGGTATGCGCAAACAGAACCAGCACCTCACCTTTCTGGGGTCTGATGATGAAAGACTGCGTGGCTCCGTTCACCAGCCGGCAGTAGCCATCGATCAAGTCAGCCATATTCTCTGCAATGGTTAAGGATGGGGCCGTCACTGTCAGAGGCTAAACAGGAGGAAGAGACCGATAAACAGGCATTATTGTTCTTCCCAATAACCAAAGGCACAGCTGTGCTATGACATCAGCCCTCTCCATATACACTTGAAAACAGGGCAGAGTGGAAGCGAAACAAGATTTGTCATAGATCTGAGTGAAAAGGAAGTTTGATCTTTAAGGACATTATTCCTAGAAGAGATGACAAAAGGCAAACCCAGATGAAAACAGAAAAATCCCTTAATCTTTCCAGAACAAAAGAGGAGGTGAAAAAAATATTTCCCCTCAGAATGCCTGGCCCTTCTGGCACTCTAATTAAGGAAAGAAGATAATCAGGAAGTCAAAGTACGACTTATTTTAAAAAAAAACAGACTAATTTGGGGTAAATTTTTATCAATTAGCCGTCATAATTTTTCTAATACTAAAGAAATCAGTAAAAATTCGTTTTCTTTTTGCATGTATAACATATTCTCCTCGAGGGCTTAGAAGTCACACTCTTCTCGTTTATAAAACATGTTCAATTCTGACGAACTTTCTAAAGACCTATCCTTAAGTGTTATCCAGGAGATAACAAAAGCGGTATTTTCTTTTCAAACACAGGTATGTCCTAATTCATAAAGCTATTCATAATCTCTTCCTATGACCCTGGCCAATCTCCTTTGCCTCTGCTTCCTCGTCCATAAAATGGAGATAAAGCATCTGCTTCCCTGGGCTGTGAGAAAGACACGTTCTCCTCTTGGCTCCTTCTGTGGCGCGTTAGAACAGTGGAGGACACATTCTAAGTGCTCACCAAGTATCAGCAGAGTCCTGGAGACATACTGGTTAAGAGCTTGGCTGCTAATAAAAAGGTCAGCAGTTCAAATCCACCAGCTGCATCTTGGAAAGGCAGTTCTATTCTGTCCTATAGGGTGGCTATACATCGGAATCAACTCGACAGCAACGGGTTTTGGTAAGTTTCAGCTGCCACTGACGTTATTATTACTACTACTACTACCTAGAGAATATCACATACAATGCAGTCTGGGAAATACTTCTCTACCACAGGTAACAAGACACATTTTTATATATAATTTCAAGGAGTTGATTTCCTTGGTAATTCATGATAATCTTTACAACAATACCAGACTGATTTTTAAATCCGTCTCTTGTTCTATTCTTGGGACACTTGATCATTCTTATTTGTAATGTGACACTAAATATGAGAAACTGTGATTCTGATGATCCTAGAAAGTCGCATTTCTAAAATATACTATGTCTTCACTTTCCTCTCGTGATGAACTAGGGGCTCCTTACCTCGGGCGCGCCCGCTATTTTTAGCTGCAGCATTCCTTTTCTGTCCTTGTCTTCGCTGTTTGAATACTGGATGGTCTGCACTTGGTTAAAGTCGGCCAGATGTGTAGGCTTTGGAAAGAAAAGGCAAAAACTCTGGACCACGGATGAAAGGCTCACTTCATTGGTTCTGTTAACTACTCTGAAACTCTCACGTCCCTACCTCTGATCCCAATGTCATCCCCCCTAACCAACAATCTCTGTGGGTCAATCTGATTCTCCATGTAGCCCCCAATGGCGGTGTCTCCTTCTGAGGAGCAGACATGGGCTCGCTGCTGTCGTCTTCACGCGGGCCCCTCCCCTCTCTCTCACAGCACTGTCATGTCAGGGGTCTGTCTGCTCTTCCTATGCTGATGTCCAACGGAGGAGATGCTCCATAAATGTTAGCAAGGTGTGTGCAAGTACAGTGACCGCAGACATAGAAACAAGAGGCAGAGGGAGGACAGTACTAGAAGGGCACCCCTGACTCGACTCACTCGCTGGCCTGGGAGGAGCCTCTCGAGATTCCCAGCAGGAGCAAACAGACTTACTCCCGTTCAGGGAGACAGGGATCCAGGCTCCCTCCCAGAGTACCAGAGCTACAGTCAGTTTCTGACACTTCATGGAGCTCTGCAGTGTAATGGGGCTGGGGAGACCTAATTCTCAGTACATGCCAACGGCGACTATGGCCATTTTTTCCAAAAAGAATAGACTCTTCTTCTGCTTAAAAAGACAAAAACATGCACATGGGTCTTCTATCATCCTAGCATTTCAGGGCAACCATCCCTTTGCATGTGATGACCCCTGGGCATTTCTGCCAAACAATGAACCTGGCTAAGAAATTAAACTTTACAATTTCTCTAGATAACCGTAACAACCCCATTCAGATCTCACTGACAGAGATACAATCTGTATTATTTGTTCCTTCCAAAACTAAAGAATTCTGAAGAATCCCCACGGGGGCCTAGACTTTCTCTTACTCTCCCCCACCATGAGCATCAAATACTATGCTATGGAAATATTTAACCACAAAAGAACACCCACTTCCTCAATTTGGGTCCCCTGTGTCTCAAGTCAAGGTCAACAGGGGTGCGTGGCACTGCACAGGCTGTCCCTGGGCCCCGCGGAGGCAGACTTACATTGCAGCCCTTGTCCGTTAGGTAACTGATACCCTCTTCTGGGCCAATTGCCAGTTCCACTGAAATGATCCAGCTTGACTTGAAGGTGAAACGGGTGAAGACAGAAGGTACCAGAGGAAAAAGAAAAATTTTAGATAAACAACTGTGGATGCATTAAGAACCAGAGGGGGCTGGCTTAGTTTGCTATTAATCTCTCTAACCCAGGAAGAGAAACTGGTTAGAACTTCACTGATTCAGTATCTGTTGAGCCCAGACAGAGATACCCCATGCTCACTGCAGACTGCCTAAAGCCAATGGCTTCCTAGCGAAGATTATTAGAACAGGTAAACTAGCCTCAGAAAATGGTTGATCAGTAAATAGATAGGTTGCAATAAAAAACAAACAAACAAAAAAAAACAACTATGAACATAGGCTTGCTATTTAAAAAAAGAATCCTACCCTAACATTGATATATGTTGTTTTTGCATTTTTCTCACTGTAAAACAACAAAATAATCGCATGCTGTTAAAAATGTGACACTAATTAATTTCAATCAGAAATTTAAACGTAACTGTTAAGAAAAGACGAAAGAAATCAACCCTGGTCTGCTACTTCCCACGTTCCCATACTTACACCAAGAGCACATTTGAAGCATTCTTTATCAAATCTGTACACAGGGGAGAGAATCTCAAAGAATTTCAGAATACTTTCTTCTCTATTAAGGTTGGCAAATTGTCTAAATGTCTGTTGGATCAGTTTTCTTAGAGTTTTGGCCTGCATGATAAAATTAAGAAAAATCTTTTTAGAGTCAGCAATGAGTGGAGACACACCAACAATCACTCACATTACTCCATTTCTTTCCTACTCACCACTTAACACCACTACACTCAACTTACTCAGATACGTCGTTCCTGTCAGAGAACTATGTACACTTATTAAACAGAGCTTCGTTTCTTCTAAAAGAAATTTGTGAGGCAACAATTTGCTTATGAGGACAAGCAGTAGAGTTAGCATTGAAGAATACGTATTGTATGTGTCTGTGCACATGACCTGGAGTGGGCGAGGGTATGATTGTTCTCACACATTCCACTGTTAGGAAGGTAATCGAGACAACCTTTCTGAAGGGCAATTTGGCAACCAAAATCAAAAACCTTAAAATACCACAACCTGGATCTAGCGATTTACATTCTAGCACATTACTCTTTAGAAAAGATTAAAGATACATGTAAAGATTCAGCAGCAGCCAAGCTCACTGCAGAGCCGTTTACTTAACACCTGGACTGGTTACGTGAAGTACAGCCTATCTGTACAATGTTCTATGCAGCTCTGAAAATGGCTCTTGAAGACTAATTTACCGACATTAAAATGTGTATCCTTATTGTTCCATGAGAAACAATGACAAGGTAGTCTGTCTGTCCGGCACAGACCCTGTACGAGGAGTGGGTGCCAAGACAAGACTGCTGTGTAGACACAAGCACGTGGGAGCACGCACATCACCACTGACAGGGAGGAGGTGAACCAACCACGGGTTTTTTTCTGCGTAGAGGGATGATCACAGGTGGTCTTCTTGTCCTTTTTTGCTTACTTGAATTTTCCATTTATCTACCATGAACATCTGTATTTATTTTTAAAAGGAAGAAAACCACTCCTAAAAGTCATGGGCAATGAGGGAAGAGCTTTCCAGCAGTAGGTGCACAGTCCCTGGTATGTGTGTGGAGCCCTGGGAGGCCAGCAGGGTAGAACACATGAGGGGTCTGAGGTACGGCTGGGGGGCCCTGGGAGGCCAGC